TGGAGCAAATGATTCAGCAGAGGAAACACAGCCCAGAATAACTAAGGAGATAGTACAAGAATACTTGGCTAGTTTAGATGTATTCAAGTCTCCAGGGCCAGATGAACTGCATCCAAGAGTATTAAAAGAACTGGCAGATGTGATCTCAGTACCACTGGCAGTCATCTTTGAGAATTCCTGGAGAACAGGCGAAGTCCCGGCAGACTGGAGGAGGGCAAATGTTGTCCCTATTTTCAAAAAGGGGAAAAGAGAGGACCCAAGTAATTACCGCCCAGTCAGTCTGACATCAATACCAGGGAAGATTCTGGAGCAGATCATTAAGCAAACAGTCTGTGAGCACCTAGAAAGGAATGCTGTGATCACCAATAGTCAGCATGGATTTCTGAAAAATAAGTCATGTCAGACTAACCTGATCTCATTTTTTTGACAGGATTACAAGCCTGGTAGATGAAGGGAACACAGTGGATGTAGCCTACCTTGATTTCAGCAAGGCATTTGACAAGGTGCCCCATGATATTCTTGTAAAGAAGCTGGTAAAATGCGGTCTTGACTATGCTACCACTCAGTGGATTTGTAACTGGCTGACTGACCGAACCCAAAGGGTGCTCATCAATGGTTCCTCTTCATCCTGGAGAAGAGTGACTAGTGCGGTGCCACAGGGTTCTGTCTTGGGCCCGGTCTTATTCAACATCTTTATCAACGACTTGGATGATGGACTCAAGGGCATCCTGATCAAATTTGCAGATGACACCAAACTGGGAGGGGTGGCTAACACCCCAGAGGACAGGATCACACTTCAAAACGACCTTGACAGATTAGAGAACTGGGCAAAAACAAACAAGATGAATTTTAACAGGGAGAAATGTAAAGTATTGCATTTGGGCAAAAAAAATGAGAGGCACAAATACAAGATGGGTGACACCTGGCTTGAGAGCAGTACATGTGAAAAGGATCTAGGAGTCTTGGTTGACCACAAACTTGACATGAGCCAACAGTGTGACGTGGCAGCTAAAAAGCCAATGCAATTCTGGGCTGCATCAATAGGAGTATAGCATCTAGATCAAGGGAAGTAATAGTGCCACTGTATTCTACTCTGGTCAGACCTCACCTGGAGTACTGTGTCCAGTTCTGGGCACCACAGTTCAAGAAGGACACTGACAAACTGGAACGTGTCCAGAGGAGGGCAACCAAAATGGTCAAAGGCCTGGAAACGATGCCTTATGAGGAACGGCTAAGGGAGCTGGGCATGTTTAGCCTGGAGAAGAGGAGGTTAAGGGGTGATATGATAGCCATGTTCAAATATATAAAAGGATGTCACATAGAGGAGGGAGAAAGGTTGTTTTCTGCTGCTCCAGAGAAGCGGACACGGAGCAATGGATCCAAACTACAAGAAAGAAGATTCCACCTAAACATTAGGAAGAACTTCCTGACAGTAAGAGCTGTTTGACAGTGGAATTTGCTGCCAAGGAGTGTGGAGTCTCCTTCTTTGGAGGTCTTTAAGCAGAGGCTTGACAACCATTTGTCAGGAGTGCTCTGATGGTGTTTCCTGCTTGGCAGGGGGTTGGACTCGATGGCCTTTGTGGTCTCTTCCAACTCTATGATTCTATGATTCTATGACCAGGTAACGTTCAGCACACCAACGGTCTTTGGCAACATAGTGGTTGCTGCCCAAAGCTGCTTCATATGTGGCCACAATCCGTTTTAAGCAGCTCTCCATAGTAATAACTGAATTGTATGGAAAGTACGTATCCACACCAGTTCTAGTATTGCCTAGGAAGATATAGCACTTGTCGAGGGACTTTTCATGAGAGCAGAACATCCCTGTGTTGATCCATTTATGAATATTATTGGCTCTGGTTGAAGCCCTCGCCATATGGAATCAACCACCATACTGGATCAACCATACTGCTTATATCATGTATGCTAGGAAGAAGCCCTAAGAGACAACGAGTGCATATGATCATGTCAGCCCACAGCAGCTTTAGTTTTAAATCTATCTGCAGCCACGAAATGCGAAAGCATCTTTTGAAGGTGGTTTCCAACATTTTTCCAAGTTTGGGCCTGGGGGAAAACATAATGTGTGTGTGTGTGACCGAACAGTTCTGGAAAATGCTAATTTTAATCCTTAAATCACTCAGGGCAGGCATCTTCCCTTCTATTTGTACATACACTGTGATAGTTTGGGCATTCATGAATCTTGATCTGAGAGAAGTTAGTAATGAATAATACAAAATGGTGTGTTCTGTTGGAGTATTCTGCCTTATGGTAGCTTAAGACTACCTGTAACATTAGTCACAGGAAAGGATGGTGTTTTTTGTCTGGACTTTTCCAGTATATGTGGGCTTTAAAAAGATACCTCCAGAGAATAAAAATATCACTATTATGCACAAAACAGGATTGTATTAGCTGGGATGATTGCAGAAGGATCTGCATAACAGCTATATCTAGAAAAACTCATGGCAGAATTATGCTTGGCCACTGTTTGACAATGTTGCTAAGAAAATTTTACATATGTTTTTAGGGAGAAATCACAGGTGAGGGTTTGGTTGTTTTTTTTTTAATTTTAGCACAGTGAATTACAAAAGAAGCAGAGAACAGTACAGTAATATTGGCATGCTGTTTGTTGATCTCTCAGACGCTTCTGAGACTGTCCATAGAAATGGCCCTTGGAAATGTTTTGCTTGAGTTGGCTGCCCAAACAATTTAGTTCTGTGGTAACGCAACCGCTTGATGGGCTGAGGGCTACAGTGAGCTACAGTGGGCTGAGGGAAGAGGATGTTTTAAAAGACCTCCATGTGACTTTTGGAGTTAGTCAGCGCAACTATGTAAAAACTGCTACCATCACAGTTATCTTTGAAAAAAATGTGAGTCCTGTTTGAAGCTTTTTTGTTTTCTTTTGAAATTCCTGGGATACAATTCCTACATTCACTTAAGATTTCAATTTTGGCAAACTTTGAGTGGGAAATCTAAGCAATGATATTTGTTTTCTGTTATGCTTCTGAATGCTTTTTTCCTTCTTTTTTTTTTTTTTTTTGCAAATGCTGCAATGATCATATTATGAGCCAGTTGCGTGACAGACATCATAGCTGGGATCTGACACCAAGTCTGAGGACAACAACAATCATCAATCTCACTCCCAAGCCAGAGAACCCCTAGAGAAGGCAGCAGTCAAGCTAGGGTTCACAAAGGGTCCATTGTTTATCATTTAGAGCCTCATGCACTCAAAGACCTGCTCACCAATGTAGGTAGTGTGTCTAGTAAGAAACAGAGATGTCCAGGAGTGCTAGGCTGTAGACCAGAGGCTGGCTCACCCCTCTTCTGCAAGAGGGCACAGATTGTGAGGGCCAGTCTAGCCTTAGCATATATAACGTCACAGTTGTTAGAATAATGTTTCAGCTCCTTTTGACTTGTCCAAGGTTCTGAACATCTAATATTGGACTGTGCTTGTTCTCTTGGGTCTCGAGTTTGGTTTGGTCTCTGTCTGACTGTTTGTTTCCTTTTCTCCCCATCACCCAGATGACATTTCTTATTTTTCTCCCAACCTAGGCATGGACTCAGCCTCGCTAGGACTGGACAGTTATTGATGTGGGAATAATGATTAAATAGAAATAAATGTGTTCACAAACTCTTATTTGCAGGCAATTATATTTAACTTTCAAGAGAACATATAATTATAGTTCACTCTTAACAGCAACACGTACATATTTGGATCAAATCATTAGCATGACAAAACAACAGGTCTCATAACAACCAGGTGCAGAAAGATTTGTCTTCCTTAGATGTTCTTCTGAAACCAGCTTCTTTCAATGGTAGATAAATACACAAACTCATATATCAGTCAATAATGAAAACCCAAATTAACCAAACAAATCTAGTGCAGGTTTTGCAGGCTTCACTAGCATCTCAACATGAAAAACTATAGATCAGTTGTATAACACATAATTTGCATGAAGAAGGTCCCAGGATATACCTCTGACATATCCCGTTTAACAATCAGGTAGGCAGGGATGGGGAAGACATATGCCAGAGAAAATAAGCGGTATGGGGCTAGATGGACAAAATAAGGCAGCTTCCCTTGTTCCAAAGAGATGAGGAGATACCTTTCTTTAGAAAATATTAAAGTTGTGACACTGACTTTCTTTATTCTTTCCTGTCAAGTTAGGAGAACACAATTGGCATGTTAAGAAATTGAGCTACTTTCATCTGGGCAGCTTGAGAAAATGAATGATTATTAAATGGCAGGGGGAAATTCTCATTATCAGTGTTTACACTAAGACCAAGTTGCCAAGCGTGGGAGCCACAGTTGTGAACACTCAATTGCCCTGGTCATGCCAGAACATTTGACTCTGAAACAGAATTGGTACAGAAGACACTATTAAAGATATGAAGCAGCAGCAAGCATAACGCAGTTCAGCACTGGGAACAACAGGCACAAAATTAGAAATTAGCAAGGCAAGTAATCTATGCTGGAACCATTTCAACTGTTTGCATGTGCCAGCAAAGGAAATATATATTCATGAAAGATCTGAGCCATTTAATACTTCCACTTTTATCTATCCAATTTGTAGAAGATTTGGGCTTCTTCACCATCTTCAGACTAATAAAACAAGTGAAGATTATGCCAAAGGTGGTCATTTTTGCTCACAAAAGCATAACAACGATAATCAGCATGATACAATCACACATATACCAGTACACTTTAAGATTAGAATCTGGGCAGTACGAATATTCAGCTGGATGAGCCAATAAAGTGATATATGCCTGTGCTTATCTTATACATCCACATACTTATTTTGCTAACTACTTTTCTGGGCCTGCACTGTAATGGAAAAGTACAGCTTAACAAGTCTTCAAGTTCTTTGATCGTAGTCATGATTACTATGCAGAAAACCCATGTTTTGATTTTTGAATAGAATGGATTTTGATAGACAAACATTACAGTCCTATCTTATCTATCTATCTATCTATCTATCTATCTATCTATCTATCTATCATCTATCTACAGTGGTGCCTCGCAAGACGAAAAGAATCCGTTCTGTGAGTCTCTTCGTCTAGCGGTTTTTTCGTCTTGCGAAGCAAGCCCATTGACGGATTAGCGGATTAGCGCTATTAGTGCTATTAGCGGCTTTTAGCGGCTTTTAGCGGCTTATCATCTTATCGGATAAGCAGATAAGCGGCTTAACGGCTTAGAAAAAGGGGGGGAAAGGGGGAAAAAAACGCAGGAACTCGCAAGACATTTTCGTCTTGCGAAGCAAGCCCATAGGAGCTTCGTTTTGCGAAGCACCTCCAAAACGGAAAACTCTTTCGTCTAGCGAGTTTTCCGTCTTGCGAGGCATTCGTCTTGCGGGGCACCACTGTATCTATCTATCTATCTGTCTGTCTATCTATCTATCTATCTATCTATATATCATCTGTTTTCTTTTTGGAAAAATATTGCCCACATTTCTTCCAAAATACTCAGGGATTTTTCTTTTTATCTCCACAATATTGCTGTGATATAGGCTGGGCCAAGAGAGAATACCAGGTGAGCATAATGGCTTAGCAGAGTTTTTGTCCCAACATGCTGTCCACTATACATCGCTGGCTCTCTCTACTAGTAGTAGTGACACACTGGAAGGAATAGAAAGTGCAACATGAGTTAAGTCAAAAGCATAAATTATGAACTCTGTTAGGAAGGTGGGAGGAATGCTGGGCTTACTCACATGAAGCAGGTGAAGAAGGCAATAGGACATTGAATCTGCGCGAGGAGATAATCTGCATTCACTGTTAAGCTCGTCAAAAGCATTCCTTATGAGCAGAGCACTTCACAATGCCTAGTTTAATGTTCGTTTTCAATGGGACATATAAAGAGGATTTGCTTAGGTGAAGGCTGGAGATTCAGCGTCATTATCTGCTTTTTAGTTATGCAGCTGTAGTCTTACAATTTGACATGCAGCCAGCCTCATAAAATACACATAGCACAACACACTCTTGGAAAGCCTAAATGCTGTCCAGGACAGGAGCCAAAACTAAATGTGGGGCATCTATGCATTTTTTTTCTCTCCAGCAGGGATTGTGTATTGGATGGCATACACATTTTTAGATAATCTCAGAAAGAGAGTGCAGAACATTATTTGGTTAAATTAGATAATAGAGAAAGGACTATATGTTTATGGTACAACCTTTGTTGGTGGAGTGTACTTTCTGTGGCAGCTCAGAAACTTCATGAGTGTGTGTGTGTGTGTGTGTGTGTGTGTGTTTTAAAACTAGTATGATATTTTTTTCTGTAGACATATACCAACGAGATTTGGCACATCTGCAGCATATAAACCATTCCAGATTGGCATGCCTACAGCTTGGTCCAGAACTAACATCATCATCATGCTCTCATCTGTTGCTTTGGCTAATCCTTTCTATGCATCCGATCCTGGTGATTTGATAAGACAGGAGCAAGAATACCACCAATGGGAAAAGCAGAGGAAGGACTGTGCACCCATTACCCTCCCACCATCACCATGGAACCTGCATTAATTTGGCGACAATAATATTATGTAACTTTACTGCGACTCTAAGTTATAATAGGCACCTCTCCAATAGTGTGCATACTACAGTACTACGACTGTAATGACTTCAGAGGGACATTTCTATCCTCTCTAAATACGGTGCAGAATTATTTGGCAGGATCTATGGCAACAAACTGTGTGATTTGACTTTCATGAAGTTATAGGAAGCTATCTGCATTGCTTGGACCACTTTATGCCTGGGCTCATGACCACTGAGAGAATCATTGAGTCAGTGTCTCCTACTCTGCAGAGACACTGATACTAAGGGCACTTCCAGATGACCTGTTTACTGAGCATTCATCCTGATTTGTTTGCAGGGAGAATAGATGATGTTGGCAATTTAATGAGCATTTGTTTTGATTTGTTTGGAGGGAGGTTAGATGACATTGACCCAAAGCAAGTTTTATCCTCCACTTTCTAGTGCATTTTCCCATCACTTTCGATATTGCAAAAAGTCTGATCCTACGGGAAAGAGGGTTTGTTATGCAAGACCTCCCAATCAACTATAATTGTGCAACCTGAATTTGCCATTAGGCGACTGGATCTCCAATAATTATTGGAAGCTCTCCAAGAATTGCTGAAGAACTGGACAATTGGCCAAGACAACATATGAAGCAAACAATGACCTTCATATCCTTATTTCTCCATGCATCCAGCAAGAACATGCCTGAGGTATGGAGAGGTGAGAGGTGATTCTTTATAATATGTGATCAGGCGTGAGTCAGATATGCAGATATAACTGAAGCCCCTTGTTGCTTCTCATCTGACTATTTCTGCTTCTTAAAAATACTGGACCGTTCTATTTTCTTCCCATCCAAAATACCAACAAAGGGAAATGAAATCACAACTGGATGTGAGTCTTTTGTGATCTTACAACACCTTGTCAGGAATTTAGTGGGATATGAGCAGCATAGCTGCATTATGGTTCCAGCTGGGGGAGTCACTAAGCAATTCTGACTCTTCTTTTGTTCAGTATTTTTTCCTATATATAAGTCATTATCAAATAATAATTTTATTTTACACACAAACAAAAGCATTATTTAGACATTTCCCCAGCCATGTGTGAGCTATTCAGTTCTATGATTCCATTCACCCATGGAAATTTGCTTAAATGGCAAATCATGCTGGTAGGTCTTTCCCATGGAATCAGCCTATTGTCAATATTATAAGAACGATACATATGGCCACCTGCATGGTTGAGTCCTGCATCCAACCTATGCAGAAGCAGCTTGTGAATAAGCAGCTCTCACGTATCTCCAAGTAAGTCTAAAGGGCACCCAAGTGTTATAAAAGAGTGTTAAAATACATATTCTATTAAACTCTTCATTATCTCATATTATCCTTGTAACAATGAGAAGGACTTCTTTCCTCCTGCTTTTATTCTATTCAGTCTCACCAAAATTATATTAAAGGAGTTTATGCTTTAAAATGTGCATTGACCCCAATTTCACCCCAATTTCAGCAACCAGATACATATATGCTAATGGAAGACCACAAAATATGCTGATTTTTTTTAAAAAAAATTGAAACCCCAGTGAATATGGAACAAGTGAATGCTGTTGATTCTTCATATTTAAAGAAAGAGTTACAGTTCTACCTGCCTTTTTTCTAACCCTTTCACAGTATCGATTGGAAAATCGGGGTATCAGTAAACACAGTAAACAGTGTTTAGCTGTTTGTGGATATTCCTTACAGTGGCCTCTGGCAAGTCCATAAGCAGGACATGAACAACTCCTGCCATTCTTTCACAGCAGCTAAACTTCAGTTGGCATCCCTTAGATTTCTGCATTTTTGATACAATATTGGGTGTGAGAGCATGCCTACGTTGTTCCACAAGGGAAGTTTGGGAGACTGGGGAGAAATTGTTTGAGGTTTCTTTGCTGGACTGATGTTTTTTGTCTACTTCCTTAAGGTTGTGTGACCCTTACATCGTTGCATTGTTATGTATATGTCTACACGCTTCTGGGCAAATAAAAGATTAAACATGTAAAGCATTGAATTATTTAACATGACACATAGCCCTTCTGGCCATCCCATGTCAGTATCACTTGGCAGTGAGCAATCACAATTACTGATAGCACCAGTTGGGGTTTACTGCTCCTAATAAAGAATATTAGACACTTTCCTACTCAGATTAGCCCTGTGTTTTGAGAGGCTAAAATAGGAGCTTTTTGCTGTAACATGCATTAAAAGCTAAGGTGTCTCTTTGACACTACAGAATACATTGTTGAACACGTAAAAGTTTAAGCCATGTCTATCAGCATTCATGCCTCTTACAGAACCTTTCCCTCCAACTCTGGCTGCATTTGCTTTGAGTCCAAGTATGGCCAAAAGAGGACCACCAAGTTCTGACTGTCTGTTGTGGTACTCTCCACAGAGATCTTCACTGAACTCCTGGTCCACATACTGGATAACTATCGGTTCTGTGGAATGTTAACCTCCCCCATGTGCCCCCTAAATCTGTTCTGGAGTTTTCCCCAACCCGTCAAAGCACATGGGGGGGGCATGCACAGGGGGAGAAGAGGAGGAAAGTCCCTTTGCGCTAGCAGAAACCCTTGTGCTGATGGGACTATTCAGTGGAATACCACCCAATGGTTACATCATCATGAAAGATAAGAACTATGGTATTATCTGCAGAGACCACATTCTCCATACAGACAAGACTGTAGCAAATTCCTTCAAGAAATCTCAGAGATAATTCATCCAATTTGTTTTGGTTTGGTCAGGATCCCCCATCTCCTACACTTTACTGATATTTTGGTTCATGTACTAAAATCTTAGAAAGAACTGAAAAAGAGTGTTGTTTTCTATTGATTTTTTTAAAATGATATGCTTTGCAGTTTTGTATGTCAGTTTGTGAATGCTTTCAACCTCAGAAAGTGGGATGTTATTTTTATTTTTTTAATTGGTAAGTCACCCATCATCTGAAGATCACATGGCAGGTCACAATATAAAAATATGAAACAAGAACACAAAATACATATTAAAACAAAAACAAAAACCAACCAATAACGCCCTCACACAAACACATTTAAAAGCCCATAGAAAGTTAATCAGCCTCCCTAGTCATGACTTCTTGTAGCAGTCCATTATAATTAAGCACATAATGGATAAAAATCGTAAGTCTTCTTCTGTCATCAGGATGTCTCTGTAAGGTATGTGAACACATGTTTAACTGTAAGAAGCCAATCTAGGTAATTTTCAGGTCCCTTGCAGTCTACACTTCCATGAGGAACCAATTTCATGCCTCATTCTATGAAAAGTAGTCATTCATATCATATCCTAACTCAGGTCCAATGCAACTAAGAAATTGCTTCCTCCAACTTCTCCCTGGGTTTCCAAACATCCGTGATTTTATTGGTCCAAACACTAAAATCTACTTTCTGGCAAAAACACTTGGTTTGGGATAGTAAAAAAAACACCTGGTAAAACCTCATGGCTGGCCTGCTGTTGGCCCTACATGCACTATCAGGCTCCACCCAATATTTACATCAGATTCCTTTACTGAAAACAAGGTTCTATCCTACATCTCTTACTTGTCTACCTGGATTTGCTTCCTGCTGACCTTGACCATCACTGCTCATGACTTAGCCCACCCAAGGGGCAGCATTATTGAAATCTAAAGTAAGGAACCCTATGACCCCTTGTATTTCTTACTACAATCTAGAAGACCAGCCATGAATGCACCTTACTCTTTGTATTCCAAGTTTGTACTAGAAGAGCATGTAAATATGTATTTTCTCTTCATGGATCCCCCACAGCGTCACAATAGGAGATTAATCTGATCTGAGCATCCTCCAGAAACAATGGGTGGGAT